TACTTAAGTATCGTGCCTTAGGTAAGAGCCAAATAACATGCTAAGAGACGCATACGTGGCAACCTCCTCTCTCTTTTTGCCCCATATATTTCTCTCTTCCTCCTCTCTCTCTCTCTCTCACGCGTTTCTCTACCAAACGAAACCGAAGGCGATTTGCCTCAAATCAGAAGCAATCGGAGGAGTCTCCGATGTTTATGACCTCCGACGGAATATCGTGAAGAAGAGAGGTCTCGATTCCAATTTCATCATTGATTCCGCTGGAACCATTGATTATCATGAGGTATATAAATAATAATTTTGTTCCGATTCTTTTGTCTTTTTGAAATCAAAGAGAAGAACCCAAAATAATCTAATCTTAGGGTTTATGAGATGCTAGATTCATGGTTGATTTGAACAATTGGGGAATGATGAATTTATATTTAGAGAGGTTTGGTTTTGGTTTTAGGTTTTTTTTTTTATGTGAAACTGATCTTATTACTAGGGAAGAACTAAAACAGTAATCTATTTTGTGGTGATTGATGCTTCACTGGAACAATTAGGCAATGAAGCTTTCAGATGTAGGAAGTCTTGATTTTGGATTTAGTGTTTTGGTGAACGTAATCTGGTCGGAATTAGGAGCAGTGGAGACTTTGAAATTCATGTGGTGTTTCTCTAGTTGATTAGAAGTTCTAATGTATAATCCATTGACAAATTCTTGTGGTTTTAAACTAGTGCACTTTCATGTTTGGGTTGATGATGGGTTTGACTAGTTAGAAGTGAACAAGGGGATTCCTAATTTGTTTATCATTGGCAGCCAAAATAGAGGTTACGAGCCGTTCAAGAGTTAATAAATCTGCAGGTTCTATTAATATCTCAGTTGTCTCTAATTGTATAGCATTAAAATCCAAAGTTAACATTCTAGTTATGGTGACATTAATAGGTTGGAACATTTAGTGTTGAACGTATTGAGATGGAGGTTACGAGCCATGACACCGTGCTCTTACGTGAGATACTTCCTGTGTAAGATCAATGGTTATGATCAAGAACCACACAGCAGATTGATATCCAGATCACTACAAGTGATAGCCAGCACAACCTCAGTTTTCTAAACCTCAGTTTTGCTTTTGGGTTATGGACTTTTGGGTTAGAAATGATTGATGGTGGTTGTGAAAAAGATAGTTGATGTATAGACAATACACTAATGCACACATTGTCTATTTATATCCCCTATTGA